TCTCTCTCTCTCTCTCTCTCTCTCTCTCTCTCTCTCTCTCTCTCTCGCTCTCACTCTCTCACTTGGGAATTTTAATCAGCTCTATAAGAAACTTGTTTTGTTCCAGTATGTAAGCCGCGTGTCGATATGCACATTCGTTTCCTGCGATACTTGGCATCGATGAATCGCGACAGGCGAGTGGTCGTCGCAATCGGCAAAGTCCTTAAATCAAGCGCGCTTTTGCTCTTAACTTTCGCTCTTTCATCGGCAACGATGTTTCATTTTCCGTCGTCGTCGGCGCAGCACCTGGTGTGGCATAAATTCGCGCATTCGTATATTCTCGCGGCTTAACCATTAAGAAAACTGTAATCGATGGCGCATACGCGCGATACGGTCGCTAATTGACGCTAAATCATCGTCCAGCTATCTCGGCACCGTGCTAAAACAAAACAAGACTTGATTTCTCGCGCGGCGCGGCGCGACGTGGCGCCGTCCATTCACGGGTCAAAGATTTTCTTCGCGGATTAATACGAGATGGCACGATAAAAGAGAGACGGCACGGCCATGCTCGATTATTACTTTCTGCTCGCTCTGTCGCGTCGATCATACGCGTCGACATTCGATTCCCGTCCCGACCACGTCGCAAATTAGCAATTTACGTTGTGATTGACGATCGAAAAGGATCGCCGAGCGATGCAGGACGGAAGTGCGAAAGTTTCGCCGGCCGAAGTAGTATACTGTCGCGGTATATTGATTAATAAAATATAACGTGTGTTCAATGGCAGATAACGAAGCCGCTGTTAGAGAGGAAGAGACGCGCGCGAATAAACCGTTGTCTGGATGAGCTCAAGAACATCATGGTGGACGCTTTGGAGGTGAGGATACATTCATTCTTTTTATACATTTATTATACATACATACGGGATTTAGGTGGAAAATATTTCAGCTATTTGAGGTGTCGGTTACTAGCCTGCATGATCATAATTATTGACGATTAACTATATTAACATTAAGCGACAAAAGCAAAATAACAGGCGCCAAGGCGAAGCGCATAAGTAAGAGCGACCGTGGACGCGGGAGTGAATTTTTGCAGACAAAGCTAACACGCTGACTGCTATGAGGGTCACCAGTGATCGGTGCTATAATAAAAATATAAATATTTCCATGTCTCACTAATTTACATATAAAACGTTACCACTTGCATATAATAAATTAAATATATAGTTAATTAAAGAACTAATTAAACGAGCTGTACTGAATACATGTACCATGAATTGCATTTATTTCTTATATCTTTAATAACTCAAACTTTAGTTGAATATTGAGATGATCAATGGGAATCAGATAGTCAACGTCTTAAACAACGTTTTCGACTGAAGCAGTTTTGAATCACTCCTTAGGAGCGACTAACGAAGTCATGATCTGTATCCATCCTATTACAGAATTCACAACATCGTTCATGCATCATTAGGAAGTTTAATTTGATTTTTTTCTTAGGTTCACGTCAAATATAATAAGACGGATCAAAAGCATAATTTTTGCGATTCCGTCCGTCTTCAGTAAAATATCGCAATTCAGAAAATCCTTTTGAGCCATATGGCTGCTTCGAGACGAAGGGGTGTATCCACTCCTGATGCTGGAAATGGATTAATCGCTCCCGGAGAGCCTGCTGAAACCATTTGGGTCGAGAGCGCTAAAAGTTAGCCGGCAAATCGAAGCGTTACGTCCGCGGTTATTTTCATAGGCAGCGGCAGCCTCGGGCACACCGATAGCCTGGTTCAGCGAGCACGTGCTACACACTTTTTCCCCGCGTGTTGAGAGCGAACCTTCGGAGGAAAGCCGTGGTTTCTTACTCGACTCCGCCGACTCTATTTATGATACCGCGCGTCCGTCCTCGCGCCTCGGCCGTCCGTCCACCGGCTCCGCCGCTGCAATTTTACGGATCGCGCCTAGCAGGAAACGCATTCTCGGGCTGCAGCTACGCGTGCAGGCGATTTTGCTTTTAAATGTTCCCAGAGCGTGGGAACCCACCGGCGTGCAACGGCGGGTGTCAACGGAACGACACGTATACACCGATTCGCGGTGTGTAGTCATGCGCGTAACGTCCTACCGTGGGGCGACATATAGGTGATATTCAAATATCCTCGATATCGCTGTCTAATCCGAGTCTCTCGCAATAAACGCAATTTATCGCGTCCTGGCGGCGGCGGTGCGGTAAGTATTTAGCGCGTTCCCCGCCAAATGCTATCGCGTTAATGTCGAACGCGATCTTCGCCGCGGATAAATAAGTCTGGCCGGGAAGGATAAATAAATAGATAAAGTTGTCTCACGCGAGAAGAAACATGAGATAAGAGGCAGGCGGCCTCTCCTATCGAGGCGGGATCTACAATTTGTATCTTTTACCGCGCTGAAATAACTACGCGCGACGAAATGATGACTTTTGCGGCTGTCAAGCGGAAATTTTGTATTTAGCGTTGACTGTGTACACGAGGTGAGAAAATACGCGGGCCGTGCTTTTTAACAACTTCAATATTAGCCTTCGCGATCGACCAAGAGCAGAGGCTCACATAAAAGAGGCTCACCTTATTGCCTCGCGCGCTTCCCGCGCATTAGACCGAATGGGTCTTAAGCGGAGGAATCCTACGGTGTGCCTCATCGCTGGTGCTAATTTGTCGATACGGTAGTCCCGGCCGGCGCGTCTCCGTCGTCACCGTCTCCACGTAATTCGCTGAACCAACGTGAAAGGCACCGTTCATTTCGCCGAGCTAATTTCCCCAATAACGGCGCGTTATTCGCGGGCCGATTGCGACGTCCGTCTCCTCAGCTTCTGGGCATTTCACGATCCGAGCGATAGGTTCATTCCATTTCCCGAGTCATTCTTATCTATCGACGAGGGTTCCGTTCGCAGACCGAGAGAGAGAACATCAGCAAGCTGGAGAAGGCGGACATCCTCGAGCTGACGGTCCGCCATCTGCAGAGACTGCAGGCCTCGCGATCCCCCGGGTTATCGGCTACCGGCGGCGGCGACGGAATTTCCGCTGAGAATCGCTGGCGATGCGGATTTGGGCATTGCGCGGCCGAAGCCTGCAAATTTCTCTCGTCGCTGTCGGGTGAAGCCGCGGAGAGACTGGCGAGGCATCTTGCGTCTGGTCTTCAAACGAGCCCGCAGTCCAACTCACCGCAGGTAATTGACAGTTTAATTTGTAATTATCGAATAACATCGGCGACGAAGGCAGAGTGCCAGGTGAGGGGGTGTCACTCGCGAGTCCAGTGACACGTGTTGGCGTTCGGCCGCGCGAAACGGAGCTTTTCATTCCAGCACGCTTACACGGCTGATCGTCGCTAATTACTGATATCTCATTATTAGTAATAAAATATGTGATAGGTAACGAGTCATCGTGTATACGCCCCGCCGAACTTTACATTCAAGTGCAACAGACATTATCGAATCCCCCTCTGATACTAGGCATGATTACTCACTGTTTTCTCCATGTTGAGGCTTGAGGGATTTGCTTCAGAGCTGTTTAATTGGGATGGTCTCGATTGTTCATCTGCATTTTATTCTCAATTACAATAAGCGAGATATGTTTATTAATTATTTAACATGCTTAACCGCAGATAGAGTATGCGCGATAAGCAAATATTGGGTCAGTCGAAAAGGACGCCGGACGCCGGAATGCGGGCAACGATATATCGTGGTATATTTCCAGGTGTGTAAAATCGTTTATAATACAGGACACACATTTCTTATCTTCACGGACGTTTGATGAAGAACTTGCCGAGAATAAAGGAGATAACACCGAGTCGAAATTGAGGCCGGTATTCATAATCCATTATCATTTGAAAAATGATTATAGCTTCGGTCATATGTATACATCTCCGGTCATTCGTCCAACTGTATATGCACTTATCTCATACAACAAATAAAGATCCGTAAATACGAATCTGTATATGTAATTAATTACGCTCTCAGTCGAAGCTCGTAAATAATTTACGAATACTGGCCTTAAAATCTAGCGTAAGATTCGCGAGAGTTAATTTATGTGTCTAATAATACTCTTCTAACCGTAAAATTCATCTTGAATCTGCCATTTATTATTTATTGCACATGCAACTGCTATCTTTACTCTTACAACTTCTTCCCCGTCACCCACTTTGAATCTCCGAATCTTATCGAAATTCCCGAAATACCAATAAAAGAAAGAAAAGAAAAGTTTTTTTCTTATATTTATCCATTTAAATATTGATTTTTATCAAATTACATAATATTTGATTATCGCGTGCGTGTATTCTTATCTACAGTTCCCGTCAGTGATTAGTGCTTAGTTAATATATCGTTTATTGAAGCAGAACGAAGATTAAATGCAGGTAGAATATCAAGATGATCGAATATTTCGTAATTCTGAGAAATATTTCTCTTTGAGCCTCGATATGGAGAAAACATTAATAAGTAATTATGTGTAACATTCCAGAAAAATAATAGCCCGCATAGTATTTTTGAGTCTATCAAAATATGTATTTGGTTTTTTAGTCAAATTGGAATTCAGTGAGTTCAGTGGGGACAAGTTATTCATCAAATAATCAATATTATTATTTACGGTCCTTCGCCAACATTTCAGCATCATTAGTTTGTCTTTATCATAGATAATAATTAAGGTGGAAGAAGACGAAAAATCGGTGCAAAAATCGAAGCAAATTATTCAATTGTATTAATGTATCTTGTAATTTACCATTGATCCTTCAAACTCGACAGAATTTGCATAGTTTATATAAATCCAAAATTTCGATTCAAAACTTGCATGCAGCCGAACAAATTTATGATTACAAACTATTGTTAATGACAACTGTACTGATCATGGAACATTCTTTTTATTTTTAGCCGAAAATCGACCTCTTATCACCCAGCCTAACAAATAGCGTCGCTAGCAACGCGTTATCTTGCACCGTCGATATCTCCGGTGAGATCGACTCGGTAGTACATCGCGCGAATCTGTCGCCGATTATATCCACATCTTGCACCGATAATAAACATGTTGACGAGATCCACGACACCAACGCCTCAACAACAATCGTCTCTACGTCTCAGTGTCAAGCCTCGATGTCGCTCGTTAACGACAAAAAGAAATTAACAGCGGATTTTAGTACGAAACTGAAGAATCCAGAGGATCAGAGGGCAGTGACAACTGCGACGACGACGATAACGACGAGGAACAAATCGTATAACTTACAGGATGTTAACGCTGAGGACGATGAAGAAATCGACGTCGAACGTGTAGAGGAACGCAATACGATATGGAGACCGTGGTAGTGCGAAAGCACTTTGTGCTTAATTATCAATTAATAACGTACATTCCCTATGCAGATTCCTATTCTTCCTAAAACTTGCCGTTGTATATCTTACACGTTTACGTTTTGGTAGAATTAATACAGAAGAGATGCTAGAAACAGCATAATCGAAAAGATTTTATTCAAACTTGTTATTTCATGTGACAAGGATATAACACTTCTATGTGTTTATATCATTACTTCCTTGCAAGTACAAAATAGTCTTTCCGATATACTCCGGTATTCGAGAATTATTTTTAATAATTATAGACCGATCGCGTGATATCAATATATACACATGTAGAAGAAAGTTTATTCGAGAGTAAAAAGTTTATTCGATATCATTTCATTAAATAATGGTGATAAAACAATATATATAAACATATCATATACCATATAAAGACTAATGGAGAGATCATCGGTATTGTAAAGTTACGTAATGTTAATATTTTATACTATGGTCATTTTTTGTATTATAGTTAATAGTGTTCTGTTAATTCTACATTACTTTGGTATTTGGCTTTAAATAGACATAAGTGTGTGATAGATCATTCTTATATATACATTATTTGTATATATTAGATTATAACTTACAGAAGAAACAGATTAGAAAAAAATCCTCTTTAATCCATATTCTTATAAGAATTATAAAGTTTATGAAAATAATAACAAGAAAAGTTATTAATTTAGAAAACATTTTGGAAAATCTAATTAACACACATAAAATTATAAAGTATATTAAATATTATAAATTTTTATGTAACATATTTTATATATATATATATATATATATATATATATATATATATATATATATATATATATATATATATCACAGTTTCATCAAGATATTTCAAATATAAAATATATGGAATTAGTTGAAATATTATTGAAATCAATATATGATACATTGGGTCCGAAAGCAACGCGAGATGACGCCAGCAACCATTGGCAAGATCAATTAGTTCTGAATGAATAACACAAAATTGTACCTGCAGTAGATTAGTTTCTCAATTATTCTGAAAAAAGACATAAAATAATACCAACATACAATTATAAGGTTGATTAATTCTAAGAAAAAGATGGTATCATTGATTCTTAAAACAACACAAATGGTATCAATTCGATAAGGTGAGTGGCAAATGCAATTAATAATCTTTAAAAAAGATGTGAGGCTGGTGAAAGTTGTTCAAGCAATCAATTATATATAGTACATTAATTAAAATTAATATAAATATATATATATGAAACTTTTTCATAATAAATATTCGTGATATTAAAATTAGATTAAGTTAAAAAGTCACATCATATCTAATTATTACATTGTATATTACATTGTATTAAATTACATTAAGGGAGGAGGTCATATTAAATTATATCAAGTCAATATATTAAAACTTAATAGTTTGTTATTATTTGATAAATAATAAAAATCTTTGCATAAATAAATAATAAAAAATAATAAATAATAAATAATAAAAATCATTGATTATTTCACATAGCAGGAATATACATACGGATATCTTATGAATATCAGGACATTTTTAGGACATCTCTATGATACATTATAAACATTTCTGCTGTGTACGTGAAAAAAATTCGTTAATCTACATTTATTTTATAAAAGAAATATTGATTTAAACAACAGAAAACAGTTTAGGCTAAATAAAATTTCAGAGATGTCAAACCAAAATTGCGTAAAATCGGTTTAGACTCGAACCACCTTATATTTATCTAGAAAAGATCTAAATCAAAATGTGGTTTCAGTCCCGTCTAAATATAAACTGGTTTGAATTTTGGCTAAATCTAATTTCAAAGATTTCAATCCAGAATTCCCCGATAATCAAGCGTGCCGGCACGTTAGTGCACGCTGTACTCAGCACGTCATGCAAGTACCATATTGGTACTGTATTATTTGATATCGATAAAGCAGAAAATATGCGCGCCACGGTGTCATCACGCAATGCAGTACACGTTGCTCGATAACCAAGCGCGCCACTATATTTGTGCACGATGTGCTACGTACGTTGGACAAACAATATACCCCGATAATCAAGTGTGCCAGCACGTTAGTGCACGCTGTGTTTAGCACGTCATACAAGTACTATGTTGGTACTGTGTTATTTGATATCGATAAAATAGAAAATGTGCGCATGGTGTGTAGTACACAATATACTACGCAGTGTAGTACACATTGCTTGATATCGCACAAAAAGAAATTTTATATTATAAAAACGCAAATTTTATTATATCTCTATCTATTTTATTCATCTCCAAAATTAATACTATTAGTTTAATTATATAGTTTTTAGAAGAAGGTAATAAATTCATGACTTTTGTAGTATTTCCTCGATCGTTATATTATCCTCCTACAAAATCGTAAACCCGATATATCGAGCAACGTGTATTACATTACGTGATGACATCGCATATTTTCTGCTTTACCAATATCAAATAACACATTACTTGTACTAACGTAGTATTTATAGACGTGCTGAGCGTGCATAGCGTGCACTAACGTGCCGACACACTTGGTTATCGGAGGGGACTTATTTAGCCAAGATTCGAACCTAAATATTGTGAAGACTGTTTCCTCTTTGTGACCGCTGAACAAAAAATTTAAGTTCTTCTATTTTGCGATTTTGTAGAAGGATAATATAATGATCGAGGAAATAGTACAAAAGTTATAAATTTTTTATCTTTTTCTAAAAAAATATAATTAAATTAATAGTATTAATTTTGAATAGATACAGAGATAAAATAAAATCTACGTTTTTATAATATAAAATAATCGGGCAACGTGTACTGCACTGCGTGGTAACACCGTGCGCACATTTTCTACTTTATCGATATCAAATAACACAGTACCAACATAGCATGATGTGCTGAGCACAACGTGCACCAACGTACCGGCACGCTTGGTTATCGGGGTGTGAAAAATCGTATTAGCTGAGATTCCAATCATTTTACATTTTTCTAGCCGGGATGCGAACCTAAATGGTTCGAGTTTTGGCTAAACATGTTATAAATGATTCGAGTCTCGGTTAAACCAAATTTCAGAGATCTCAGGAAAAAATCGCATAAAATCAATTTAGCTAAGACTCGTATTGTTTTGGACTTATTTAGTCGAGATTCAAACCTAAATATTGTGAAGACTGTTTCCTTTTTATGGCTGAACAAAAAGTTAAGTTTTTCTATTTTGCGATTTTAGAGGAGGATAATATAATGATCGAGGAAATAATACAAAAGTTATAAATTTTTTACCTCTTTCTAAAAAAAATACAATTAAACTAATGGTATTAATTTTGGAGATGAATAAAATAGATAAAGAGATAAAATAAAATCTACGTTTTTATAATATAAAATTTTTTTGCGTACATTTATATGTAATAATAACTAAAAAAACTATGATAATAATAAAAATAAGAATAAAATTATTTGATTTAATATATAACATGATCTCTGGTACCTATATATAAAATATATGTAAATATATGTTAAAAGTACATACAATATGTATGTATGGATACACACACACACACACACACACACACACACACACACACACACACACACACACATTACTTCTTTTTATGCATCTCCAAGTTTCAAATCTCCAAGTATTAAAAATATCCTACACCATTAAAACAAAGATTATAATGAAAAAAATTATTATTACGTATAATGAAAAAAGATTGTAATTTTATTTATCCATTTATACGCGTTAATCTCTATTCAATTTAGCATATGTAAAAAATTTCGAGATTTATAATTTTCGTTGTTGAATAATCTCTTGATCTGGTTTCTGTTTTGATACCACGTTCTACGTACGCGGATTACATTCGTTAATATTCAAGAAATATTACACTGATTATATGAAATCTCTAATTGTCGCACTCTTTGTATACGCGTTATATAATGAGTTCTAAATTTTATAGTTTCTGGGTTTAGGCAATTCGTCATATCACGATTTGTACGTCTGTTTTCAGTTTACTTTCAGATTACTTACTGTATTGACATGTGGAAACTTGAATAATATTTTTACATAACATGATTGCATATATTTGGTTTTGCACAAAATCTGCAACGGATTATATTTGGAAATAACAAACCCTATACTAAGCCGCGTTTGGAGCATTTGCAGGTAGGAAGGATCGAAGTAGTTGCCACAGATAAAGAATCTTCACGACTGCTGCTCGGGGACCCTTTTAGTAAGGACATACGGTTTGCCAACAGTCATTCTCGACCATTATTGCGGTCACTAAATCAAAACGATGATACTTTTGTCGGCGGCCAACGGTATCCACAAAAATGTCGGCGGCACAGTTAAAACGCTTTGCTATTGAACCGACGCTATTGTGATGCCTGCGATTTGAGTGGATGCCGACTGAAGTGATACAAATGACATTAAACTGAAAGGAAAACGGAAAATGGTTTTGCCTTTGTCGCGGGATTCTCCGATGTAATCTTACATGCAAACGGCACCGTAAAAAGGATAAATAAAAGAGTGCGTCACTTTAAATATAATTAACGATTTTCTTTTTGCACTTTGACGGAGAAAATATATTAAAGTGCAAAGATAACGTAAACTTTCGTCGAAGAAATTCAAATAATCTCTTATTTCCTCCTCCCACGGAGAAACTCGAAGAACCTCGATCTTTTGGTCGCGCGATTCGCTTTTCGTCGGCGCAGGGGTTCCATTGCACCCAGTGGTCGATAACACCACCGTGAGAGAACCCTGTGGCCGTTTGCGACCTTATTCGCCGGTCGCAAACAGCCACGGAACGACGACGCACGCACGCAGGCACGATACCTGAAGTCGTGAGGAAAGCTGCGCAGCCATTACGACTCTTACCGTGGCGGTTCGCGCGGCGCGTCAAAGAGCGCTCATTAAATGCTGGCAATTAACTGCGGACCGAGTCTCTCGCTTTCCCGTTCCCCGCCGCACCACCGGCCGCTTCTTCTCGGTTCTCGGTTTCCGTTGGGCCTCGTGTGCCGATGCTGCCGGTGGCGGTAGTCTGAGTACTCGAGGTATTCAGGTGTGAACGTGAGCCACAGCTCGAGTTGGACCCTTTACCACCTCATGGAAGCGCTATTGTGGCGTGATAATCTGCGGAACCGCGAATCATCGATTTCCTACTGTCGTATCTGCATTCTGCCTGAGATGTTGTCTATGTTTATACTGCTTAAAATAACATTAAAAGTGTGTTTAATCGATTGCGAGCTATCATTTTTTTTAGCATTTCTTTCTATTTTGATATATTTTGAACATGAATTTTAGGCATACATTTCCTTGCTTTTGACGCCACCAATCAAGAATTCCGCGATAAAGGACCAGTGCTGGGATTCTGTAACTCGTTATTGGAGTTAACGATAGTTTCGTTATCGTTGTGCAATTTTTCTACGATATACAAAATGCAACAATAACGAAACTGTCGTTAACTCCAATAACGAGTTACAGACTCCCAGCACTGGAAGCTTAATTCTGAGAATACTTCCGGATCTCCTTGTAGGATCTGCGAGATGTCCAAGTAGCGGAACTCGAGTTCCTATAAACTTGAACAATGATCATTTCTCTATCGTTCAATGTGAAATGTCGATGACGCGCGATTAATATGAATACCAATCGGATACCAATCGATGAATAAGAGTCTCGACTTGGTCTCACGCCCTGGCGCAGATTTCACGCAACAATGTCCGCCGCAG